TGTGCAATAAGCTGAATCCCCGCTGAAAGCCACATAACGTAGACTGAAATATCGGAGCGCAAAAATGGACTTGTTTTAATAATTGATTAAAAAAGGCCGCTAGTATGACCGAGTTGTAAAACAGCCGATGAAATTCTTGAAACATTGAAAGACTTGAATTGGAAAATATTTTAATATTTGATACTTTTATATTTTAAATAAATTTCTTAATTGCCGGTTTGATTTTTCTATATTATTTTGTATAGTAAACGTATTTTATTATAGCAAACTACTTACAACACATTTCTAACCGAGGCGTTAGTGTGTGTGTGTGTGTGTGTGTGTGTGTGTGTGTGTGTGTGTGTCGATCGGGGTGGGGACGTAGTTAGGTCGTGTGAATGTTGACAGATATGTGATGGTCCGAAGAAGTTGAGTTACAACAGTTTTAACGTTACAGTATTTGACCTCAGAGTCTTTCTCAACATGATTGTGACGGTGTCCATGAATTCCATCATATTGTGCTAGTGAAGACAGCAATAAATCACAGAGGGACGCTTTATATTAATGATCATGGGCCTATTTGCTCAATACTTTTATCAAGCTTATTAGGCCTATTTCTCTCGTAGCGACTCAAATCATATCTAGACTCTTTAACGCCAGAAAATGCATGTATATCAGATTACAAATTATTTTTTGCAAGAAAGTGTTAAGACGGTCCAAGCAAGCTATAGTTATAACAACAACGTAAAGCAGAGCGTCAGGAAAGACGACACATTCCAAGGAAAGGGGGCATGGGATAACCTTCGCAAAATATGGTCCGATAAAGCTGACATTTGTCCTTGGGTTGTATTCTAATACTCATGCTAAAAGTGATTCTGTAAATTTCAGTATGATAAGTCACGGGGTTTTCCATTTATTGCGTTAACAAGTCTTATATTATAACGTATAACAGAAAAGTGAAAAAGTGGGGGATTTAAGGAAAAAAGACCTAATATATCTGCAATTCGAACATGGACTGTATTTTTCATAATATGAATTACTCCAGTAAATTTGAGAATAACAAAAGCCTCACGGTTATTATTTTTAATTTTTTCTTCATGCATTTTTGATGTGTAAATAATTCTTTCGATATATTTCCTTGTTCCTTTATTCATTTATTTGGTTGGCTATTATGGTTGTGACTGTTTTCATTCTTTTCTATTTTTTTTTTTTTATTTTTATTTTTTTATTTTTTTTTGTATATATTGGCTTATGTATAAACTACATATATATTTCTTTTGTTCCCTCAAGGAGAGCACGTAATACTATATGACATTTGCCTCCTTTTCTTTCCTTTGTATAAGCCTTCCTTTAAAAATTTCAGTTCCGGGGGAATCTGTCCAGTGCGAACGGCTCCAACGTTTTCTATGTAGAATAAAATAACTCTAACATCTCGTGATTGATAGATATCAATCAAAGCTGTCAAATTTGACAGTTTGATTGACGGATAGTTAAACAAACGTCAATCACAATCATCATGCAAAGGAGCTTTTACTTCCTGTGATTGAGAGGTGCCAATCAAAGCTATTAAAAGTGGATGGCTTGATTGGCAGCTATGTAAACAAACGTCAATCATCATACCGGTGATCAAGTATAGCTGTCGAACATTGAATACGCCGTAGAGAGCGGACTGTCCCCGGGATTATTTAAATAAGTAAAATATAGGCGAGAGGAGGTGAAAGAACTATTCCGGCATCAGCTAGTTGAGTGATCAAAGGTATACAATATATGAGAAACTAAAGACTTAATGTGATCATCATATTTTAGTCACATTCTGTTTATAATAATTGACTTTTGTGAAATTGCAGGTAGGAACTAATTTTCAGCCCGTTTGCAGTATTTTACTTTTCATTTTTTATTTTCTTATCTTTCTTTCATTCTTTCTATTTGTATATTTACATGTATTATTTTTATATTTATTCATATTTTTGTTTATTAATTTTTGTTTATTTGTTTGCTTGTTTCCAAAAAATATGTTTTATATAATTTAGTTCTACCAGATTTTAAATTACATCGATTCCCTTCGTTAGTGTGCCATGAGTTCCGCACACTGCTGTGGTGAGGCTGTGTGGAGTTGGTTGAGTTAGTGGCGTACACGATCGCAAAGAATCTCACCCCTGAAATTCTCGTGGAATTCGACATGCCACGATGGGTCTCTCCACTTGGAGAATTCGATTTTGGCTATAAAGGGAAATAAGCGTCACACCCACTTTCCACATGAGAGGGATATTTACGAATTGGATATGATTACAGCGGTGACTTAGACTTTTACATCAATTAAGACAGTTTGAAGACTTTTCCTTCCTTTCTTCCAAAATAGAGCTTTACACGAAAATAATTAAAGCTTATTTATATTCAAATGTAAACAGGAAATTAAAAAGTAAAGCCTTATACAATTTTGACATTTGCTGGACATTGGGTACATTTTGCGATGTTTATAGAAAAACTCAAATGTTTACTCCATTTTTTGACTGTTCTTGTTTTACTTTAAATTCAGAAATATAGTCATTGGCGTTATTTATAAATGAAGCAGTGTACATATATGTTTACCTCCGGACGTCAGCAATGAGTAAATACAGTGTATAGACGTGCAATAAACAGATATTTTTTTACAGTTTTGGGTGCTCCGTGTTTAAGTTTAAAAGTCTTGGTCTTACATTTCTATACCAGCAGGCAGATTTTTTTATTATTAGAATAAATCCAAGCTACACTCGTGCTTGGAGACTGTCCATTTTAGATGTTTAGAAGATTGAGAGCAAAGGAAAGAGTTTGAAATCCCCAAAAATTGCAAGTCTGTTCTGCACCGGTATAGCTCTGTAGTCCCACCTTGCTGAGGAACACGTTTTACTTTGTATTGGAGACTCCAGGCACAGAAGTTAGAAACCTGGGTGTAATTTTTTCAACAACAAATGTGACATGATATCACACATTAACAAAGTGTGTAAATCATCATATTTTAGTCTGCAACGAATTTCTATGATTCTTCACCTTATTGACAGCAAGCAAACAGATCTACTCATCCATGCATTTGTGACCTCTAGACTCGATTACTGCAACAGCCTCTTGTTCGTATTACCTAACTGTCAAATTGAAAAAAAACTTCAGTCTATTCATAATTCAGCAGCTCATCTCCTTCGTAAAACCCAGAAATCCGACCACATCACACCAGTTCTCTGCGACTGTCCATTTTATATGAACAATATAATAGAACTTTTAACTTCTCTTAGAACTCTTCGTTCCAGTGGTCCTGGGAATTCACATGAAGAGTAAATTTACTTTTGACAAAGACGGCGCTTTTTTTGGTCACTTGCAACTTTTAAAGACAATGATCCGGTTTTAATGAACTTTTGCACATGCATTATTGAAAGTATTTGAGCACCTGGTGTTTCAGGCCTACAGTGGAGGAACGGCAAAAAAAAAAAAAAAAACTCAATGTTATTAACACCGACAGAAAAAAAAAATTGGGAGAGATCTCCGCCAACTGGATGGTATCATGAAAGACAGAATGAAGAAAACAACAAAACGAATTATGGGGATCCAACCCATTCAGCAAATTCTCTTTTTCATTTCTCAATATTAGAATGCTGATTTCAAGGGCAGTAAACGTTTTAAAGTAGTTTTTGCCTCTCTAAGTATGTAATATTAATTCCACTTTTAAGCCTAGCTTATAAATATTATAATATTTAGTTTTATGTCTCAATATTTTTATTAGCTGAATTAATTTTTATTTCATTTCACTAGTTAGAAAAAAAAAACAAGATAAACATAAAACGCCCCAAGCTGGACTTTTAGGAGATGACCAAACAAAATCAATTGAACGGCCCTACTGTTAGAGATCTCAGTAATTTTATGGTAGACATATTGTCTACAGCTGCCGTAAGCTTAAAATGTCTTCCCTTTGAAAGTACATGATGTAAAGAATAATACATTTCTCAAGACAGAACTCATCTCATGTTTTCTAAATGTGTCAGGAATCTAATCCGTGAAGCAGGCGACCACTGTACCCCTTAACCACAGAGGGGTGCACTTAAAGAGATAACTTTTCGTTTTGGCCAAATAATGGATTTACCTGGAGTAAACAACAATTTTCCCATACTTACCAATGGTTAATGAATACATTTCTACATTCAAAGTTGGTCTCTGTTTTTTTTTGGGTTTTTTTTTTTTTTGTAAAAAGTTTGTTTTTTTTTTGCAACAATCTCCTAAGAGATTTTTACAGAGTATAGCAATAGACTAGTATAGTATAGACTGTCACGTGGTCCAATGACAAGCTCATATATCAGAATAATTGTTATAACTGCCGTTTTTGTGGTAAAACAGAATATATTATGCTTCTACGAGTTGTTTACAATGTTTTTATTGTGAAATATAGATCTCATACAAAGAGTTATTATCCATTTAAGCTATAGGCATGCCAAGATAGGCCTCGAACTCTATACCCCCCTCAATCCACCAACCAATAATACCACCCTGGTAGCCGTATACTTCTCTATAAGTGTGTGCAAACATTTCGAATAAATTGCAAATAAAAATTTCATGAAAAGTAACAATCTGCAGATTTGTTTAAATTACACATCTCGTTCCCGTAGGCCTGCTTCTTACAGATGCCTATGATGAGTTTAATTACTGACTTAGAGACAGTAGTTATTTCAGTAACATATGATCAATGTATTCTATGTACGGTTTATTAAAGATGTATATTTCAAAATAGAATCAGATGCGTACATTCTCTAAGAATTGTATGTATATTTTCTCTAATTAGACTGAAGAAATAAACATTACAATGTACAATACAATACACAGGAGCGGATTCAGAGATATTTTCTGACAGTCTTCCAAATTATCTTTGTTGCTCCATTCTTCATTTTTGACCGTCTTCCGACAGAAAAAAATAGATACCCGTGAATGTAAACTTGAAAATCTGACCGTCTTCCGGAAGACCCAGAAGACGCCCTGAATCCGCCCCTGATACAAATCACTTCTCACATACACATTTCTCAAAAACATACGCATACATACATATCCGTATATTTGTTCTACCATGTCACTTTATTGCGTGCTACATGTTAAACTACTGTGTAAAAGAAATACAAAGACAAGCAAAGCATTATTTTTTAGTTCAGAAAAAAATCGATGTCCCTGGATTACGGATGCCCTCCATTTTTTTATTTTCTGTAAATGTATTATTTTACCTCAGAAATTAGATTTACTTTCCAAGAATAACATCTGATGTGTAAATCTGAACATTGGCTTCCCTTTCTTCCCTAATCCAGTTTTTGAGTTGTTTCCAGTTTTTGAGTTTTTCACAACAACGTTTACAATATGTATATTATCTTTTATTTTTCAGAATTAAACGCATTGAACTTCACTTGATTTCGATTGACGTAAAGTTCAGTAGGTGTGCCAGAAATCTAAGCATCTTGATCTGAACTCAAATTTAGTGAGAATTCCCTCGGAGATAGGTCGCTCCTCCTAGATCATGCCTAGATACTAGTCAATACTTGTATTTGATGAACTGAACCAGATTTGTCCTTGCTGTCATGATGATAGAAAGGTGGGCTCCCAGGCTGCTTTTCTGTTGATGAATCTGGAAAAATTTCACAATATTCTTTCAGAAGATACCCATTGCTTTAATTGATCAATATGTCTTGAAATAAAGATATTATTACACTGTAAAAGAATATATTAAATACCCAACTGCAGGAATCATTTTAGTAAGCAAAACGTGATGCTTTTTTATATTGTTCACTACGCATATGATGGAACTACTGCTGATATAGGTCTTTAGTTGTTTTGATAAAAATAAATAAATAAATAAATAAATAAATAAATAAATAAAACCACAGGGAGCAGTTTTTTCTCAGCTGTCAGCTGTGGTACCATATGGTCTGGAGTATGTCTGTTACCCTGATATCCATGACCACAGGTACAGATGATCAACGATGGTATCCAGAGTCTCAGTAACCACCCACAAGTTCTGGTCCTTGCTAACTTCTTCCAGAAGAATTGTGCAAAAATTCTGAAGTGAAAAAACAACTAAACAACAAATCTGCCTCGATCGTAGATTTGCAGGGACTTTCTGAGTGCAAACAGCATAAGTGAATGACATGCCTCCTCTTGTTTCCAACATACTTGCATAATCAGCAGCTATTTTGTATTCTATTCAATGAGGCGTGTCATTCAATTAAGCTGATTGCACTTGGCGAGAGTCCAAGCACAGAGTTGGATCACTCTAAGTTGACCTATGGTGTCTGTGAGAATGAGCCCATAGAGATCAGAATACATATAGACACAAATACAGTGCCTGTCTAACAAATATCTTCTACGCTGTATGAAGCAGATTCAATGGCATCTATAGACAAGAGAGGTGACACATGAGTTGTAAAATTCTTTTAAAAAATCAGATATTTTCACCTCAACAGGTATGGTCTGTCCAAATAGTTTATATAATATTGATTCACATAATATTAATTCACGTTATAGTAGAAAATGTTATCTATTAGTACATCAACCTTTAGCCATAGCAAATATTAAGACTGGGTTCCCATACCTAGATTGATCTAACATGATCTCCAATGGGTTTCTTGCTCAATTGCTTTCAGCTTAAGCGGCTTAGATGTCTGGGATGCCTACTGAAGCTGTTAAATGATAATTACCCCCTAACATGTCCAGTAGGCATGACAGACATCTAAGCTGCTGAAGTTGATTGCAATTTAGTGAGAATCCCCTTGGAGATCCACAGTTAGAATGATAGGGTCTGGGAATGTTCCCTAGGACATGACATGCCTGTACCAGTACATGTACCTATCTGGGGTACCTTGACAATATGACCATGACAATAAAAATGTTTGAGTGCTCTATGGAGAGAGGTTTAAGTGAATAAATATTAAAAATGAAGTTATTAGACTAAGCGCTAGTTTTTGTATATTTACAATAAAAAAGGCATAGATGTGTTATGAACTAAATATAATTGTATATCATTTAGAAATAATGGAATCAATTATGGTAATAACTCAGAAGTTAAGCTGTTCTTTGGATCTTTTCTATAAATATAAAACAATTTAAGATGTGCAATGGAGTTGCCATTTTAAAGCAGGAATTCATCTAAACTAATTTCAAAGTGATAAAAAAGAGGGCAATGCTTACTGTTTTTGCAAACTCTTGACTCACCTGCATAAACACCTATCCAGTGTTGACATCATCTAGGTCTTTAAACTCTGTATTAAAGAGGATCACCACACAACCCTTCTTTATATCCACATAATGATACCTACAGATTTTATACCAATTTTTGAAATTAATAATTGTTTTCATTTAAATAAGTCATGAATTTGGGAAAATTATCCAACAATTTATTTAATATACATTTTTACAAAATAAATCATTATCAACTGGCTCAGTCAATAAATGGAATAACTATTTCACAATTTTTCTGAAAGAATAGATTTCATTTCTATATACTAATATTTAAAAATGTTTAGCTGACAGTGAGGAGTTGTCTTACAGTAACATTATGCAATTATGTATATGCCACTAGCTTCCATTTTTTCTGTTAATCACATGGTTTCCTTATCTTTGCTATTAAGAAGCCTTCATGGCTACCACTGGCCAATCAGAGGGAATGTCTTCTTAATTATGGACTTATGAAACATTGCAGCCTGAAAATATATAAATGACTACATTAAAATCATACATTTAGCCAATTTTCATAAAAATTAAAAGAAAGGGAACTTATATATCATAAGAATTTACAAAGCTAAGGTATCTGTTAGAATGTAGCAATGGTGTACGTAAGTGTGTGTGTGTACATGTGTGTGTGTACAGTATATGTGTGTGTGTGTGTGTGTGTACATGTGTATGTGTACGTGTGTATACATGTGTGTGTATGTA